CTCAGACGAAGGGCTAACGCTCGAAACGTCAGCTTTTATAATCGTAACGTTGGCCAATTTACCATTTCAACTTTGGTTATAGTGAAATATATGAAGCATTTCAACTTTGTTGATATATTCAAATTACTTCGTTACCCCCACCGACGCAGCCCCAAACAGTTTCTTTAGAAACTATAAGCCTTTATTCATTTGAAATTATTTCAATCTTATTCCCATGTTCCCATCTTGTAATTTTACGGCAACGAATATCCATGAGTAGCATTTTTAACAAACTTGCTTAGATTATAATTATTCTTATCAGTTAGTCATTGCTGTGAAACTTATTAACTTCGCAGTGGGGATCTTATGGAAAGTTGAATGTAATAGTGACATTACCTAGAAGAGCCAATAGGCAGAACACAAAAGAACAAATAGCTATAGGAAAAAGTGTAAGGAAAGGAATAAAAGTCAGAGTAAAGGCGAAACAGAGGCAAAGTACAAAATGATTGAAATAGAAGAAGAATACCAAGTATTGAGCTCAAAAAAGAATGAAATAGTTACGGTCAACTAGACCTGAGGACAAATGTACGATAAACGATGTACCATTTGAAATCACTACTGCAAACAAAGAATCTAAGTCGCCTCCCTGTTAGCTCAAAGGATACAGCGCTGGACTGTTGTGCGAGAGGTCGAGGGTTCGAGTCCCGGCCGGACCCACACTAAAGGTCTTAAAATAACTGAGAATATGCTACATTTCTATAACATCAAGAAACGGTTAGATATGCTAGTCTTCTCGGATAGGGACGAATAAATGGAGGTCCCCTCTCCTGCAGGGTTAGGGGTAGGAGACGTTAATTTCCCACGCACGAGTTTACTCTGTGATGGATGTCCTCCCCTGGGGTGGGGGAGGACCTCCATCGCACAGTAATATTTCCGCTAATACTGTTTCTGCTAATGTCGTGCCGTAAAGTCATTTCTAAACACCTAAAGACTGTCAGCAATACTGGCGTTAAGATGTTGAGCTGTTGATGTTGTTTAGATCGAGCGCCAATTCTTAACACACCTTCCAGCAATCAGACTAGATCACCTGTTCCGGGCATTTCTGTTTTTTAGGCGTTTGATGAAGGAGAGGGTCACAAAGATCCCTTGCCTTCTAAAAGAGTTATCCAGGGATGCTAAAGGAAAATCGTATTAGTAAGCCATTTTTGAGAACAATTTTCTAGCTGACCCATTTTTCAGGTTTTCATTGTGAAAAATTATCATTTCGAAAAAGATTTCCAAAATATTGCAAAGAGCGACTCTAGTCAAACTGCCAAAATGGCGCGGCACGTTCCGGATTTTCTTTAAATTTGTGGTTCGCTTACAGACTTTTGAGTCTCATTAAAATGTGTCTGCCTTCTTAATTACAGAGGCTGTGGAAAGGAAGACAAATGAGCAGTTGCCAAAAAGCATAGCTTCTTACTAACCAAGCGCGAGGGCCGTACTGAGGATTATTCGCCCAAAATTGTGGTACTACGGAGCGAGCGCAGCGAGGTCCGCACAAAAAAGACCCAGGCCAATATCGAACGTAATTGTTCGCAACTAAAACGCTTTTAGCTCAAATGAATAGCCAGTTAAGACAATTCAAGCAAGGAACTTTTGATCTAAGTAAACTTTTTCTAGACCGTACTTTCCCTTTAATCCCATTGAGAAGCACTAAGATCTAGCACCTGGGCATGGCAATTGAACGGGGGGACTGGAACCAATCTTCAAGACTTAAAATTTCTGAGGGGAGACGATGTTGAAGCTTTGAATTGATCGACGCGTCATTTTTTCTTCTAGCATTATACTTTCAGTATCCCTACGTCAAACGATGTCATCTGTTTGATAATCACCGAGAAAAACCGTGCCAGTATCTTCTTTCACTCACGACCGAGTCTAATGATTTTCGATTAAAAATAGTTGCCATAAGGGTTTTCAACGGGGTGGGGGTGAGTCCTCCCACAGTTGTATCTCTGCTTTTCAGCGAAACGGTCTTCCAAGGTAACATATTCTATATTATCTAATGACAAAGTTTTTTAAAAATGCCTCGTGGCCGAAAAAATTACAAGAAGGGAACAATCAAATGGGTTTTTACGATTGGAAATATTTCACCTTCCGTGATAAACGCTTGAGTATGTTGAATTCATAGTAGTATCAGATTGCTTCCCGTCTTCAACGTCTTCGGAAAAGAACATTTGACCTGCCGGCCGTTATAAATGATTAAATTGTCCTCTTTCAAGTCCACAACGAAGCTTAAGTTTACCCTAGAACTTTCTTAAGACTTATTGGTGTTCGAATGCGCAAAGGTCTTGAAAAAAACAGTCGCTCTTAAGTCTCTTTTCAGCTTCATAGATCATATGAAGATTATGCGTATGTACACTGTCACCATTTTCTTTTTCAGAATCATTCAAAAACATTTATAACAGAAAGATGTTTACCTTCCGTCTTGGCTCTCTTGTTAGATGCTGGCCTGATCGTCAACGCATCCACATTTTCGCTTAACTCTTCAAATTCAGTTGGTGTTTCTTTAAATCTCTCTGCGAAACAAAGTTTTCTTATTGATTAATTACTATTTTAAAATCGTAAAAAGATATTTTTAATTCGCACTTCTACTGCGTTGAAAGAGACCTATTAGTTTATTGCCCCTTACGGCCAAGGTTCTCCGTTGTTGGGAATAAACTGATGAGCGAGCTTAAAGAGCAGGTGCAAAGTCTCCCACCCCGCCTCGCTTTTGTTCCCATACCGCTTATCATCAATCCGCCACCACTGTTTTCGGACTCGACTTATGATCCTGGAACGGGCTAACATCGTGACTGAATCGTTATATATCTTGGACAAAACTGTTAGGGATTTGTTTACGCAGTTGATCTTAATAATGTATCCTACCCCTTTTAACAAACTCTTACCCTTAATTATATTCGATTACAGCTGAACTCCAGCTTTTGTACCTTTGATCTGTTTTCTATATTTTGGAATAAATTTGCATGTCATAGCTCTCCGTCACGTCAGGACGAGGTTGTTAACTTATTTAGGCTACCACTAATTTAATTCTAGTTTCACATTTTTTGTTGTAATTCCTTTTTCGCTTATAGTCAATTTTCTTAGCTTTAAAAGTAATGATTGTTCTTAAAGTTTTGCCTAAATTTATAGTCAATTTTCTTAGCTTTAAAAGTAACGATTGTTCTAGAAGTTTTGCGTGAATTTACTTAGGGTGTAACTAGCAGCACATCTTATCTTCCACATGACCTACACCATATAAGCC